AGAAGATTCAAAGAGCAGCTTGAGCAGACAAAGTCAATTATTATAATGAAATGTGCAAAGACTGGAGTTAGAAAACCAAAAGAGAAGAACACGCTTGGCATTTCTCAAGGTGAAAGAACTGAAGAAAAAATTCAAGCCTCGGGTTGCATTATTGAAAGAGCCTATAGTGTAGTGCCTAAGGCACTTGACTGCTAACCAGAAGGCTGGCGGTTCAAACCCACCAGCCACTCCTCGGACGGAAGATGGAGCAGTCTACTTCCATAGTGATACTGCCTCGGAAACCCAGGGAGGGGTCGCTATGAGTCAGGTCCGACTCGATGGCACATAACAACAACAACATGGGCAAAATATTGAATGATACAGGAAACATGAAAAGAAGATGTAAGGAATACACGGTCACTGTACCAAAAAGAATTGGTCAAAGTTCATCCATTTTAGGAGGTGGCATATGATCAAGAACCAATGATATTGAAAGAAGAAGTTGAAGCTGTATTGAAGGAATTGGTGAAGAACAAGGCTCCAGGAATTGACAGAATACCCATTGAGATGTTTCAACAAATGGATGCCACACTGGAGGCACTCACTCGTCTCTGCCAAGAAATTTGAAAAACAGCTACCTGGCCAACTGACTGGAAGAGATCCATATTTATATTCATTGCAAAGAAAGGTGATCCTACAGTAGGTGGAAATTATTGAACAATATCATTAATATCACACTCAAGTAAAATCTTCCTGAAGATAATTCAAAAATGGTTGCAGCAGTATATTGACAGAGAACTTCCAGAAGTGCAAGCTGGATTCAGAAGAGGATGTGGAATGAAGGATATTGTTGCTGAAGTCAGATGTATCTTGGCTGAAAGCAAAGAATACCAGAAAGAAGTTTGCTTGCGTTTTGTAGACTATGCAAAAGCATTTGATTGTATGGATCATGACAAATCATGGGTAACATTGAGAAGAATGGGAAGTCCAAAACACTTAATTGTGCTCATGAGGATCCTGTATATAGACCAGGAGGCTGTCATTTGAACAGAACAAGGGGATACTGCATGGTTTAAAATCAGGAAGGGTGTATTGGTGTTGTATCCTTTGACT